ATTTCGTACCGATTTTCGCGTTTTTGGTTTTAGAGTTTGGATGAGCTGGAAAAAACACCACGAAAAATGTCAATAGGAAGCAACTTATGTTTCAACTGGGACACGTGAACTACATTTTTGAGTGGTTACATTTGTGGCTTGCGTTAAAAAAAGGTACAATATGCACGAGAAATAATAAAGTTACAACTGACAAGGGAACCTTTTAAGTGCATGTAGGAGTCAGCAGAAACCACTTGCATGGATCGAAAGAGCATTGTCGAAAACCTATAAATCGGTTTTCAAAGTCTGCTTACGAGACCTTTTAAGTTATGAAATTTCAGCATCAGCACGAAGAATCCCATTTTCAGTGTAAAATTGGGAATTTTCAAATTATATTTTCTCCACTCCAAGGAAGTTTTAGGTGTTAAAACGTTTTGTATTATACTTAAAATTATGTGAAATTTTGTATTTCAGACATTTTCTGACAAAAATGTATTTTCAGAAAAGTTTTGGAAAGTTTCAAAATTTGCCTAGATTTTCGCTGGGCCCAAAAAAAATGTTTTTTGGAAAATGTAGAAAATGTCTGAAATATGAAATCACACATAATTTTAAGTATAATACAAAACGTTTCAACTCCTAAAACCTGCTAGGAGTGGAGAGAATCACATTTGAAAATTGCCGATTTTACACTGAAAATGGGATTTTTTGGTACTAAGCTGAAATTTTAGCACTTCATAGGTCCCTTGAGCAGACTTTGAAAACGGATTTATAGTTTTTCGACCTTGCTCTTGTTATTCAAACGTGATGAAGAATTTCAAAAAATTATAAAAGAAATCCGAAAGCGTTCAAATTTTTTTCTCGAAAAATGGATGGAGAAATTTCGTTGTATTTAGCGCGAAATCCATTTCACTCCGAATCCATACATTTATTTCGGAAACTATTGTGACATCAACAATGATTTGGGATCTTTCCAATGTGCCGATGCAATCAAAATTTATGTTCCCAAGTATTTTGTTCACGAGGGTAACCTTCTAAAAAAGGTTTGTAGTAATATTTTTCCGTTTCACGATTTCTGTTTAAGAAGATTTACTTCAACCTTGGTGGGTAGTATTTATTCTGTTTCGAAATCATTCAAAAACTCAATTAATTTTTAAACCAATTAAACATTTCCAGCCGTACGATATCGGATGATGGGAATGCGTTCGGAGAAGATGGGACTCGAGAAGTTGGTGTACACGATTACGATTTTCACTCAACAAGACTGTCGAGATGTTCCCAGAAAATAATCACTGAAAATAAGAAGTTACTCGAAGCAGATGAATGTATGAGATATCTTATTTTATGTGTTTTCTAATTGTGTTTTATGTAAAGATGAAAAATAATAAAGATGTTGGGATTTTCAAAGTATCTTTCTTGTTTATAAAACGCTATACGCGTCTGTCCGCCCCGATGTCAGTCTGTCAACTTTTGAAAAAATTGAAAAATGTATATAGATTTACGTGACCCTTCAAGAAAAAATGAATTGCGAAGCTATGAATCAGTAAAAAAACTAATTTGAACTGTGCCGAAAGCGCACCAGCTTGCTGGTGTAGTAATAATTTTTTTTCAGCATATTCCGCGTGTTTATTTTAATATATCATCGAGGTCACGAACCAGAAAATTAGGTCAGGACCTAAAAAATACAGGTCACGACCCAAAACATCTAGGTCATGGCCTAGAAAAAATTAGACAATGACCTCGAAAAAATTAGGCCATGACCTAGAAAATGTAGCTCATGACCTAGAAAAAATTAGGTCACGATCCAAAACATCTAAGTCATGACCTAGAAAAAATCTAGATCATGACCCAAAAAAATCTAGGACACGACCCAGAACAATGTAGGTCATGACGAAGAAAATTTCAGGGCACGACCCTAAATATTTAGGTAACGACCCAAAAATTCTAGTCGACATAGAAATTCCAGACCAAGACCCAGGACCCAGGACCCAGGCACTCCGGATCCCTTTTCCGGGGTCCCCGCTCCGGAGCCCAGAGAAACGAAGAACTGATTCTTTCTCCACTTCCCTCTTCCTTTATAGTGCTCTCCCTGATGTCAATGGGCCATCTAGGGTCGTGGGTTTCTCAACCAATTCACGCAGTTTTTTGATACGCAATTCAAATTTTTTTCGAGAAAAAAATTTGAAAACTTTCGGATTTCTTTTATAATTTTTTGAAATTCTTCATCACGTTTGAATAACACTCAAATTTTCATTTTTGAAGAAAAAAAAATAGGTCACAGGCTAGAAGGAAATCGAATGCGATTTAGGTTTTTTTCCTTTTTTTGTTTTTATTGAATTTCACTAAAAAATGTCAAGAAAAACAAAGCTTTTGTGTCTTTTCAATCCTATGTAGAGGCACAAAAATAAATCGGTTTCAAATTGGTTTGGTAACAAGTTTTCGAAAAAATCGAGAGTAATCTTATGCTTCTGTTGTTGTGCACAAAAGACTTTAATTTTTATCGAAGGGTTTCGTTATTTTCAAAGGATCTGTTTATTTCAAATGGGCCCCTGAATCTTCAAGAGGTTCATTTTGGGAGAGACCCAAAATATCTAAAACCCGGACAAAGTCTATTTCAAACTTTCTGCAAAAAATTCTTGGTTTTATGCTTCCCCTTTTTTCGGTTTGTTTTTGATGTTCATTGCCATGCCACCGTTTTATTTTCATATTCTCTTTTCTCCTTTTTCTTTTTTTCTTCATCCCAATTTTACGACTTCCACCTCGTGAGTGCATACATCGGGTGCCTTTTTTCTCTTTTTTCTGGTTCTCATTCAGTCTTTTTGCCCCGGTGCATTTGTGGAGATGGAACTGTCGAAATTTTATTTTTTGGTTGGTTTTGGATTGGTGGTGAGTTAAAAAAAACACTATAATAATATATTTATTTGCAATGCATGGGGGGAAATCGATAGATAATTTGGCAAGAAATGGGAACTGTACAAATAAAAGAAGTAAAATGACACGAATATCATAAGGAATCGCTCCTACTCGCTTAGCAAACGCCAACGGACTGAGCTTAGAATTTATCACCTTACATACACGGTTCCACATAGACAAGTTTCTGTGAAGGAGCAGTCAAAGTATTGACCGTTGATTTTGAACAAATACGGGGCTCTGTTAGAATGGCTGGGAAGAATGTAGGACGACATAGAGGGAAAATGGTATGAGTTTATAACAATTTTGTGATAGGTACGAAGAACTAGAAGGGTGCGGCGATGAAGGGTGGTTAGCATAGAGAACTGGGATAGGCGATCGGTGTATGAATTGAAGGGCATATTACATCTCTGAAAGACTTTTCTGGTGAAAAAACGAAGAGGAGATTCTAGTTTATTGGCAAGTGTGGCATTGGATGGATCGAAAAGTTCACAACCGTATTCGAGGACCGGTCTAATGTAGGTGTCGAAGAGACGGAAATATAGACAGGGGTTTTTCGATTGGAACGTTTTCAGTATTTGGCGGGACTTGAGTTTAGCAGAGTAGGCAATAAGATTGATGTGTTTGTCGAATTGAAGTTGATCATCAACTAGTATACCTAGGTCCTTGAATGAGCGATGCGGAGTAATGGGGGATCCCTTAATAAAGTATACTGTCTTAGGATTGCGTTTACCATAATGCATAACGACCGTCTTATTTTCGGCTAGTTTGAGTCTCCAGATGTCACACCAGTGCTCGACGATTTCGATACTTCTCTGCATATCCAATGGGTCGGAGCCGGTTATTTTTAGGTCGTCGGCGAACGCCGTGACATGAACATTGGGTGGAAAGAGGCCGAGTAAGTCGTTAATGTACATCAGAAACAAAAAGGGGCCAGTGACACTTCCTTGGGGGACTCCGGATTTGATAACAATCTCGCTGGTTGACATTAGGCCATTAACCTTGACGTTGGATGAGCGGTTGCTGAGAAAGGACTCGAACCAATCGCAGCATCGTTCATCAATACCTATTCGCCTCATTTTCAGCAGCAAGAGATTGTGTGGGACAGTGTCGAATGCCTTGCGAAAATCAAAGTAAATAACATCTACGAATTGTTGCTTATTTGCTAAGGTTTTCTGTATTCTGGAAGTGGACTCAAGGGCGGCTAGAACACAGGATCGCTTACTGACGAATCCGTACTGATTCGGAGAAATACTCGGACCGATAACACGTTTTAGCTCTTCAAGGACTAATCTTTCGAAGAGTCTGGAAAGTGCATGAGTGAGCGTTATGGGTCTGTAGTTATTAGCGTCATATTTGGATCCCTTCTTGAATATTGGACTAACAACCGAGTGCTTCCAGATCTCAGGAAATTTGGCGGGAGAGAAAGATTCTTGGAAGATGAGCGAAAGAAGGATGGTTATCGCATCACTGCACTTTTTGATTACAAGGAAGTTGATAAAATCCGGGGAGAAGCCGACTTTCGAGGGTAGGGAACCGATGTGCTTTGCAATATTTAGAGGAGAGAAATCAGGACGGACGGCAAAGGGAGCGATAGCAGGGAGGGCGGAGAAAGGAGGGCTTGGGGGCGAGAAGGCCTCTTGGAAGACGGATGAAAATTCGTTGGCTAGTTCAGAAGCGTCTGAGGATAAGGTGCCATTGACCAGGAGAGAAATGGGACAGTGCGGGGGACGGAGTCTAGATTTAACGAAATGGAAGAGTTCATTGGGGTTCTTGTTGTTTATAATAGAAAGCTCCTCCCTTGCACGCGCCCTCTTAACTCGATTGAGCTGTCGCCGAACAAGCAGTTTGAGCTGGGGTCTAGGGAGGGACGGGTTGCGACTGTGGATGAACCCTCTACGCGAGATGGTTGGACGACGAGCACGGACGGTTGGAGTGTAGAGGACTACGAGCTCGTTGAAAATGGCGGAGAAATGAGCAAGTTTCGAATCAACCGTGGAGAAGAAAGATAGCTGCCTGGGCCAGTTGTAAGAGCAGAGATGATCCAAAAGACGCTTGACGTCACATTTTATATAGTCTAGACGTTTTGACGAAGTAGTGTTGAGGATGGGTGAAGGAGGAGAAATACTAGGTAGGATTGTTTCGAAGAGGACAGAGGAATGGTCAGAGAGCAGGAAGGGTGGAAGATTCACGGTTTTCGAGATGTGTTGCGGCTTGTTAAAAATACTAGGTCTAAGAAGTTTTCAGCACCGCAATGACTGGTTCTGGTTGGGAAGTCTACTATCTGAATCAGATCGGATAGTGACATCAGGCTTTCCAGGCCAGCAGGCATATCATTAGGCAGAAGGTTATCAGAAGACCAGTTTATCTGCGGGTAATTGAAATCATCGAGAAGGAAATTGAAGCGATAACTGTTGTTGAGCAGTAAAGATAGATTGTGAAAAAGTACATCGGATTGGGCTGGTGAGGTGGACGGAGGACGGTATACTAAGACGAATCGTCAACTTATCTGAAGCAGATCGACAGTGATAGTTTCGCAGTGGTGTAGGGGGTAAAACTGGGAGCTGAGACTGTCAGCCTCTACCAGCTGTATGTCTTTGCGGGCGAAAACCGCGACGCCACCTCCCTTGCCTTTAGGGCTAGGGGACCGTCTGTCGAAGCGAAGACAATGAAGGGTCGAGGATGAGGAGAGAGAGTCAGGGACGGATGGGGAGAGAAAGGATTCAGTAACAAAATGAAGGTCGATCTGGTTGTCTAGCATGTCAGAGTGAAGTACTTGGAGGCGTTCTGCAGATGCTATAGATCTGACATTGGAGAGTTTGCAGGGGAGATTTATCACAGCTGATTTGTCTTCGGAAGCAGGTAAAGGGTTCGTTTTAGGGAGGGGTTTCAAGGGAAAGGGGGACAAAACTGGGGCGGCGATGGGACACGGGGAGATATCGGAGACGGGACGAGGTGCCACGGTTGGACAGACAATAACATTTGAATGAACATTTATACTTTTAAACAGACGTTGAGACATGCATGTGGTATCATGATGGTAGATGTCCGAGCGGGTCCGGTGGCGAATTTCCTATGCAGAAGAGGAGGGAGCGGCTCCCTGAGCATGGGCTTTGGGAAGGGGTCTGGGGTTTGAGCTCTCAACAATAGTAAGGTCTCTAACAAAATATTTGATAACACCAGCTAGGGCGTTAGCCTCAAAGGCTTTTTTCCGAAGCTCATGTAAAACCGCAAGTTCTTCGGTTGTCATGTCGCGGCGACATCGGATAGGTCGGGGAGTGGGAGAAAAGTTGGGAATAGAACGCATGGATTTCGAGAAATTATGAATAAAAGAATCACGATCAGTTTGGGACGAAAATCGGACTTTCAAAGGGCGGGCATAGGTTTCAGTGTTGCGGCATTTTACTCTAAAATTATCAGTCGGTTTTGGTTTGGGAAGATCGGCAGGGAAGTGCTCAATAATGTTTTCAATGAATAATTTATCAATTCCTTGTTGGTCATCGGCAAGTTCCAGCTGGGATGACACTTTGCTCGCTAGAGGTGAACCACGTAAGACATCGGCATACAGTGCACAGGAAACCTGCTTGGTTTTGGGCTTCGGCGGGCCGACACCCAGCGGTGGATCGTAATTGTTCCCGGATATTGTTTCAGCGGCCTTGATCGCAGCTTCGAGGGAGGCGATTTTTTCATCCTGACGTTCAATTCTGGCTTCGAGAGCGGCTACTCTAATTAGAAGGGCATTGACATGGGTTTCGGAAGCAGAGATTGCCTTGGGCCGTCCGCGTTTTCTCAGGTTTTGAGTATTCAGAAAGGGCAGCTTGCGCGGTGGCGACTTCGTTGGCGACGATGATTCGGGGTCTGGGGTCGGCGGTGGACGAGTAGTGGGCGGGGGCGGTCCTTCCAAGGGCTCAGAAGAGGGAGCACGCGAAAAGTCGTCGTTGACTGGTGTCATCGTTCGTCGTTGTCGGCGGTACCTCAAACTCAAACTTGGGTAATTAAACCTGTTTCATTAACTATATAGACAAAAGCCCAAAAAATGTTTTGAAAATAGAAATTTCAAAACTGTACCAATTACTCCTATTCCAGACAGCTGATCTTACCATGATGGTTGTCTTTGGAACACCTACAGTAAACCAAAATGCTAACACTTTTTTAAATACCGATTGGAACACTTGTCTGCAATTATGCTATCAATCTGTACCGTGTCTGGTAACCATGGATTTTGAATCTCTAATAAAAATTTTATTCAGTTGGCATGGCAGTCTGGCTCCGATTGCCTCACTTTTAATTACACTGCCACTGGACCAGTGACCCAACTTCAAAGTGGATCTGTGGTAGCATTCAAAGTGGACAATCCAAGTAGCCAGTGCCCAAATGGAACTAATCCACCTACTTTCAACAATAAAAATGCTACGGTATTTAATTTTTGGAGTATTTTTACTTAACGTATTTTAGGGCTCCTTGAGCATAACCGATTCAACAGAGGATAAAACAGTCACTCGGATTTCTTATGAGACTTATTTAGAAGGGGGAATATGGCACTTCGGCTACACATGTAACAAATAAGTTTGCGATTTTCCTTATATGTTTTCTTGCAGACGCTAAAAGCTGCCCGGATGGTTTCAATTCAAACTTACGAGCTGATGGAAGCATCAAGTGTTTCAGAGTGAGTTAGAAGGTAAAAATTTGAAATTGATCGATAATTCTGTTTAGCAATGGTTACCATCAGATGGAGGTGTGTTTGACCATGATCGAGCTGTAGCAATCTGTACAGAAGATTTTTCCTCCCTCGCCGGAATCACAACTCAAGAAGATTTGACTTTTGTGACAAGTAAAAATAATTGTAACTCAAAATTTGAAATTTAGAAGTTATAGATATCGTACAAGCACTTCGCTATAACGTTTCCAGTCCTAATGTTTATGCAAGGATAGTTGGAATACGTACGAATTCGTGTCAAGGAAGTCCGAAAAGTGCCACGTGTCAAAGTGTAAAAGTAAGTGTTGTGATGGTCGAGCATTTAGTTTCAGTTTTAGTTCAAGCTGATGAGGTGATGAGAGTCTGAAAATTTCCGATAATTTCTAGAATTATTTTTTTGGGCTTAGAATTAAAAATATCGGAACAATCATAGGTTATGTGTAGTGTACCTATGTAGTTTGCCTTATGACATTCAGTACTCCGAGTTGCCTAATTCTATCGAAAAGGTCATAAAAGCTTTCCACAAAATGCAAAAGTCTATTTTCTCTCATATTTTCTATTTCTGCTCGAAATCTTGCCTGCGCCGTATTTGGCATCATCGCCGTCAAACTTTTTACAAAAATTCATTCGAATCAAATTGACTGTTTTAGAGCTTTTGGAAGTTCAGACGTTCGGTTGAGTATCAGATGGAACATCTCGTTTGGATGGACTTGTGCAAAAAAAAAATCAACGAAAAGTGTTCACATGAGTTCAGTGTTTGGAACCAAAAAAATTTCCCAGTTTCCTCTTGAAAATTTTTCAAACCTATACTGATTAAAAGTTATTAAGATAAAACTCCCAGTAAATCATTTGAATTTTGAACCTAAAAATTTTCCCCCTTCCGTCTTATCCATTTTTGAAACTGTTCTGATTTTGAACTGTTAAATTGGTTTTGCTTTAATTTAAATTTCCCAGGGCTTTGAATTCACCGACACCACAGTCCAAAACTTTACCTATTACAATTGGTTGACAAATTCCTCTGCTCAAGCGAGTACAAGTGACAATTGTATTGTGATGGTTGCAAATGGTACCAATCCAATTACGACTGATGTTAGAAGGTAATAATTCACAGATTGCTAGATTAAACGAGTTAAACATTTTTAGCTGTGATGCCGACACTCCTCTACCAGCGTCTATAGTGATTTGTTCGCGACCGGCGTGGGTGTAACAGTAAATGAATTGTATGAATTAAATAAAAAGTTTATTATGAGATCATCAACTTAAAAACAATTGAATAAATACAGTCTACTCCTTTTTGCTTTTCTTTTCAGAGCATTTTGAGCAGAAAATCTTACGAAGAACAACTCGGAAGATGCGATAGGAAATGTAAAGGGAAGTCAGAGAGATGACGGTTGCAATGGCAATGATGTCAAGGAAAAAGTACTCAATGTAAGATTGATGTCGTCCATAATTGTCGAGAGATGGCAGTTTTCCGAATCTGGAAGAATTTTTTTGAAAATTAAAAAAATATTTTTACTATTTCAAGAAGGGCTCATTTTTGATTCCTGATAGAAATGTTATTAGAAATGTTGATAGAAAAGGAAACTCTTTTACTTACCTTGCCGCAAACTCCACATATTTTACCAATGTCTCTTTTGGACTCGTCGGTTGATTGGTGAGCATTTCAGCTAGTCGTTCGGCATTCTGTCTGTATTTTGGATTCTTGATGACTTCTTCCAACGTCGCTCGAACAAGTTTTGGGTTAGCCAAATCGTTTTTGTGGAGTACTGTAGCTCCTCCGTGACGCTTGAGCATCTGTCCGTTACGTCCCTGGTCGGCGAATAGAGGGATCTGGAAATCGGAGTTTAAGGAAAATATATTTGAGGACGCTTCTAGTAATTAGGATTTAAGTGTACCTTAATTGCAATGACAAAATGCCGTTAAGCCATTTTGAAAGTATTGTACATTTCCTCTAATGAAATCCCATCCAACTTTGAGTTCAATTATCTCGATTTCTGTGAAATATATCAAAATTGAGTAAATATTTTTACTATTTCAAGAAGGGCTCAACTGATAAATTATTTATCATGACATCACCAATATTTTATCAGTTGTTTTAATATATTTCCCAGAAATCGAGATAATTTAGCTCAAAGTTGACGGGTTGGGTGAGCTTCTATTAGAGGAAATACAGTAGTTCCCCAACTTTGAGCTGTTTTTTCTCGCTTCCTGTTAGATGTCTCAAAAAGTGCCTAACTGACAAAACGTTTATCATAATGTCAAAAAGATTTTGTCAGTTGACATCTTTTCGATATCTTATACAGGAAACGAGATCAATACGATGGAAACGAAATCAATACAAAATTAGAAGACCCTTCCACTTCACGATACTTTGCAAGTGGAATTTTAATTGAACTAGCCAGAGTGGTTTCAATTAAGTACAGTTTCATGCAATTCAGAAAAAATACAGCTATTGTTTTGTCCTGATACTCTCGTTAACCTACCATTACTGCCGGCTTCCCCATCATTGCCAACTCAGTGACGGATCCCAATCCTCCATGAGTGATGAATACCGAAAGTCTTGGATCAGCCAACAACTCGTTTTGTGGAAGCCACTCTCCCAAATAAACATTATCCAAATGATCCACGATTTTATCCTTCTCATTTTCGTACTTCCAAATAAAAGTGGTATCCGGCATTGCTTTGAAAACTTCGAGAAGAGATTTCTTGAATTCATCTGGCATGTCCATGGATTTTGCGTTGGAGCCGAAAGAGATGAAGACGTTGTGCTTGCGAATTCCGAGAATTTTTGACCATTTCTCGTCGAGTTTCAAATGTTTCTTTTCAGTTTTCACAGATAATCCGCCGATTGGAACTATTTTGTCAAAAGTTGGAGCTGGGAACTCGAGAAGTGGAATTTGGTTGGTGAGGATGAATGAGGCTTCTGGTAGAACTTCCTGAAAACGTTCAATGGAGATGTTTTATCTGTGAAGAATTATTTTTTCAGAGATATATGGACCATTTGTGGTGGGCATGAAACAGAAATGTTTTTATATTTGCGATATGATATTCCAACAAGCATTATTTCGAAACATCAGAAAGGAAACTTTTCCCTTTATTGAAACCGAAAAAAACGCAAAACTCGGAAACCTACCCTCCACGATCTCTTAATTGGAACAATAGTCTTGGCAGCTTCGAAATCAGCATCTCCGAGATTTGTGAAGAAATAACTTCCGAAGAAATATTGGATGTAGTTTCCAAGTCTCTCTCCCATCGTCATCCGATCTCCCATAGTCGACTGGGTTCCTGGCACATAACTAGCAGCAATTGGTTGCCCGATCACTTCGGTGACATGATCGAATCGACTTGCAGAGAGGATTGCCACATGGGCTCGGACATTCATCGCTTCGAATAGAGCTGAAAAAATTCAGTATTGATAGCGGAGTCGTCGGGAGGAATCTCGACAAATTTTGTTGGTGAATCGGTAAATTTTCCAAGTGAATAAGTGAGTGGAATTATAAAGCGAGTTATAGCGGGATATATAAAAGCGGCAAGATAGCAACGAGCTGTATGAACACTAATCGCTTTACACCGTCACGTCAAAATGCATTCTGTAATTTTAGAACAGATTATTCGAGGCACCTAACAACGATTAACCTCGGTTTTTGTAACTGATTTTAACCTGAATGAAACAGAAATATTTGTACACAGTGCCGGTCAATGAGATATACAACAATCCATGTTTCATTTTATTTTTAGCCATTCTCACTATTTTCAGGAATCTGGATATCGGCTGTCAAGTTGCCGATCATTAAGAAAGTTTTGGAGGGGGTAAAACAGACCTAGATTGAATACTTTGCGTTCACAGAGTTTTTTATATTCCTACTTTTACAGCTATTTGCCAATATATGACAGACATCTGTTTTTTCACGCTTATAGTACAAAACGGCCCGAAATAGGGATGTGTTTCAGAAATTTGTAAGTAGCTGAAAAACTAGGAATTCTCAGAAATTTCGATGAATGCAAAGTTTTTAATCTAGGTTTGTTTTACATCCTCAAAAATTCCAAGGTGATCGGAAACTTCACAGTCGAGCTCCAGACTTCTGAAAATAAACTGAAAAATACGTTTTCGTATACCTTATTTACCGGTGTTGTATACGCCAATTACTGTTTCATTTAGGTTCTAATCCGTTACAAGATAGTTGTTAACTGTTATCACGTGAATACCTGGGATCGTCTAAATTATAAATTCCAGCATATATCTCGGTTCCTGTCATAGATATCATAAAGTAGTCAAATGATGAAATGTGTATCATAAAATCAGTAAAATTGTTTAACTGATATCATACATAAAAGCCACACAAAGTTAGCTCAAACTTGACGGTGTGAGAGCCCTTTTACTACAGGGTTTGCTGTGACCCTTATAGTTGATTTTCAAAAACGTTACGATTCTTCGTTGTGTTTGAACTTAGAAGCATAATTGAAAAAGCAAGATGAACAATTTTCTCGGGAATTCTAAAAAATTTAGTGTTTCTCATAGCTGTTATCAACATTTCATCAATTCCTACTTTGAAACTACCGTATTTCCTCTAATAGAAGCCCACCTCTATCTGGAGCCCACCCTCTAATAGAAGTCCATGGGCTTCTATTGAAGAAAATACGGCAATTAAAAATTCTAGAATTTTCGGAACTGTGATTTAAAAACTCGAAAATTTCTCAATTTCTGATCTACAGAATTCCTGAATTTTGAATTTTGAGATTCTGGAATCTCAGAACTTCATAAATTCGAAATTTCGGAGTTTAGAATTGCAGAATGAAAGCTTTGAATTCAAAAAAAAACACCGAAATTCAGAATTCTCAACTTCCGAATTGTCATTTCTGATTTTTTGAACAACATTTTTTTCTAAAATTGATCTAAAAATAGAAGCCCACCCTCTAATTGAAGCCCACCTTGAGAAGAAGATTGAAAAATAGAAGCCCATGGGCTTCTATTAGAGGAAACACGGTAACTTTAGACTAAATGAAACAGTATTTTTTGAATACTTTTAGCCTAACAAAATCTTACCATAAGCACATGTATCAAACGGTTCCGTAATTGCCAAATCGTAATTCTCGGCCTTCAGTTTCTCAATTAGGCCAGGTTCAGACATCACTCGCTTGCATTGCTCACTGAATACTCTCGCCATGTCTCCGGCTTTCTGAAAAAAAAACGAAAATTTAAAATGAAGTTTTGCAGTTTCAAAAACTAGTTTTGAGTGAGGAAAATTTTCTTTTGTAATGGTATGGTAGTAGCATAAGATCGTGAACAAAACTTTCCCTAATAGTAAGATAGACAATTTTCTCTTACCGCCAACATGACCAAAGGATTAGCATTGTCAGCGGTCCACAAATTGGTCAAAAACTCTCTCATCTCCTCCATCAGCTCCTCGACATTCTCACCGGCTTCCACGAAAATTGTGTTCTTCGTCGATTTGAGAGACGTTTTATTGCGAAGCATTGGATCCATAACTGGCATTAGGACAGTCTGAAAATCGGTTATTTTCAGCTCGCCTCACAAATAAACTACTTTTCTGTTTCAGAAACCTTTCATCCAGAACGCTTGACAATTTTTTTATTGCTCTGACAATTTTCTCTAAAAATTAGCATGTCAGACTGGTCGATCACTACTGCGAAAGCAAATCACATGTCAATACTTTTCTGTTTCAGAAACCTTTCATCTGAAACAGTACAAGATTATTTTCCAGGACTCACCACATTATGACCTGCATCTGTTAAAACATCAGCCGCCGCCGCTAACATCTTCACATGGCTATGTCCAAATAGATTACTGTACATCAGAATCTTGTAAGAATCCACGCATGACGTGGCAGCAGCCAATAGTACAAGAATACTCAAAAACTTCATGTTTGATCAGAAACTTTGACCAATGTGGAGAATGATTGTTGAATGATGACTTTTTATATGGACTGCCTGTCCACTGAAAAGGAATACAAAGAGAGTGATGCAAAGAACAGATAAGTATCAGTTTCGAAAAAGGGCGGAGCTTTGACCAGAAGATGAGGGTGAGGTACACAAATTGAAACTGGCAGTTGCGTGTTTTGTAGGGGGTTTTTTTCTCGAATGGAATAGGAAAGAGAGAATTAGACAGAGAAACGGTAGTCGTTGTAGGTTGAAGAATATGTGAAAATTAGACCAAATTGTTTGCATCATATGATTTTTATGGGTCATGTCCGGTTTTGAAAAGAACTTAACATGGTTTAAAATTCGGGGATAAGGAAAAGTGCGCAATATACACCGTCACGTCAGAATGCCCACCGTAACTCCACTACAGCTCTGAAAAAAATCTCGTCTCCCCTCTTTTAATGTAAAAACTACGAAAGTTGTGAAGCGGAAGAGCAAGCACAGTAATTCGAAACTGCCGAATGACAAAAAGTGGAGATTTTGGAACAGTAAATTTTTGAATAGTTGTCAAAGGAGAATTCATTCTACAAAAGTGATCAATTCAAGTGTTTGACAACTGTTTATCCCTCTGGATTTCTCTGCATTTCGTTTGTGAGATGAAATACCATGTCAAATAAAGTGTCTAATTTTCTTAACTTTGCAAACTTCATGGAATAGACAAAAAATTCAGTGGGAATTAGGGAGCTTTAGAGTCCTAAAAAAGTAATTGTTCGATTTTTCTGAAAGTTCTAGATTTCACAAAACACAATTGGAGCTTCAATTTGGTAGCAAGAATTTTTTTCAAATTTAATTCTAAAGAGATATGCCGTTTGTAACAAAATAAATGCCAAAAATGTCAAAAATCAGCACTGAACTGTATGTTGTTCTATAACCCCTCGTATCTCGCTTTGTTAGATTATTCTGATAAAGTTGTCAATCACAAAATGAAAGATCTGATTTTGATTAGTAAAGACTGAAATTTTCAGACAAATCGAAAGGTTCTCGAATTCAGTTTAACATCTTCAAGGTAGACTATCTTTCATAGGAAAAGTAAATTTTTACTGATTCAGAACTATTTTATACTTCTCCAGAGACACAAAAATCCGTTATTTGACGGTTACGAATTACCAGAATTTTCCGAGATTTTTTAAGATGTTATAGTGCTTTCGGAATTTCAGAAAAGTTTTATTTTGACATGTCTATCCATTTTTGCATTTTAAGTCAACCCCGCATATGACAGTACCTAAAAAACGGTTTAAAAAATTCGTAAACTTCTTGAAACCGTAATTTCCGTTTCCAATGTTCTTTACACATAAACCACTCTTTTGACATTCGTCGTCTCTTGTTTTTCTTTCTCTTTTCCTTCTCTCATTTCTCTTGTTTGTACGCAATATAGTCTTTTGGTGGAGTCTGTAGCCTCTATACTCCACACCTTATCGTTGTGATGTGATGAGGACTTTTTGATAAATTTTGGCAGGTTCTTCTTGTAAAAATCGAAAAAAAACTGATAGGGGAAGAGAGCACAGAAAATGGTAGCTAGTAGTTTGTGACAGTGCTCTTCGGGTTATGAAGTCAGAGAAATGAGAAATGGAGTCAAGAGGGAATAGAAAATTTAAAAAAAGTACAATAGTGATGACTGCCTTAAAATTAAAAGGAAGAAAATTACATGAAAAAGAAAAGTTTGAATCTCTAAAAAACTGAATTCTCAGCTCTTCTTCGAAACGAAGAACTCGTGGAAAATATTAAATCAGACGAAGTGATTCTTTGTTGAAATGCCGGATGAGTTAAGTAGAAGACCCAAGTGACCACACAAGTTTGAAGATCATTCCCGAACGGACGCATGATTTCAGCATACGAGAAATATGAAGTGGTGCCGTAGTAGAATATGTACATTAGCTGAAAAAAACAAAAAAACGTTTGGAAGAATTGTTTCTAGCTTCTCCTGAACAAATGTATCAAATTCATGTAACAGCATTTTTTTTTCGAACAGCTTACCAAAAATGATCCATTTGTCACATAGAACGCAATCATTGCCAATGTTGTTATCGTTATAGAAGTATGTGATTTTTTGGATGCTCCACTAGTTTGAGCTCTTATCAATTTCGACCTGGCACGCCGGACTTGATAGAAAAGGAGAAGATTGGCAATTACAGAAACTGTCATCCAGAATACCAAATTGTAGAGATGGAAGAATGAATTACGAAGCTGAAAAAAGAAGCTAGGTTAAACTAGAAACCTATTCATACACCAAATGCAGAATCGATATAATAGATCCAAATAGCTCCGAATGGATATGGTGCTGCTCTTTGTTTGCAAACACCCAATGCAGGAATCAGGTAAAATGTGAAGCAAATCGGGAATATGATAGTCAATGGAACTCCATATCTAACAATGTTGGTGTTGATCTGCGAATCAGAATTTTTAGATTGAAAATGATTGTCTTCATATTATGGTTTCATAGCCCCGCAGTTTTAATGATCTTTTTGAAACATAACTTTTTTTCAATTTCGTATCCTGAAACCTTGTTATAGTTATCGAATTCGAGTTTTAACAGAACTGTTGTCATATTGACAAGTTATAATGGACTAATTTTGGTTAAGTCATTTGAAAACTGCTTTATTTAGTAGTTAGAATTTATACAAACATGAAAATATCAGTGTGTGGGAATAGTTTTTTTTTAATTATCACTTTCTAACAGTTGCCTAAAGCAAACGAATTGGGAAACTATCAAAAATTCTTGTCGATTTTTTTCGGTTCAATGTTTCTTCTAACTGAAGAATTTCTGAAATTTTGGTGTATTTTAGAAAAAAATCTGAAAGTATTGAAACAGTTTTCTTTCGAAAAAAAAAGTAGGTTGGTGCATAAGTTTCTTTCAATTTTGAATGCTCTACTTTGAAGATTCATCAGGACTATTGACACCAGATAGGAGTTGACCCACTTTTTCATTCACAGCTTTCCTCGTTCTAGGCCGATGGAATCGAGAAAATTTAGGAGCGTTGGCTGACAACTATCGATGCTCATGAACGTTACTTTCATTGAGCCATCCCACTCTGCTATTGAGAGAAGCGTGATCGAAAGATTAGTCAGAATCGAAAGAAGCTTATGCACCAACCTAATAGTTACAATGATTAACTCAACTACAGGAAACAAAACGGAAATGCTATACAGTTCTTACTAGAACTTGGCCAGTATCAGTTCAAAAGCGCAACACCTCAACTTCTGACCAGAAGTTACAAGCCGAAAGCCGAGTTAGACAAAAGTTTATGTTCTCATGGTCATCAGGCAATTCGGTTCAATTCTTTCAAAATTTAGATTGATTCTCATGATCATTGAAAGTCTGAAACCGAAAGTTCATTTGATCATTTTGAATCGTGGTTACTAAAGTTTCAAAAAATACTGTTTTAGTAAATTTATGTTCCAGCTAAAGGAATATTCAAAGGAATGGTGGGTTGAGATATCCCGGCAATACAAGTTTTGAAAACAAATCCTCACCTTGACATGTGACTTTGGAAACGCAACAATGATAAATCTGACGACTGGCATAAGGAAAGGAAACGACATTGCCAAATAATTAAAGTATAATGCAAAAAACAAAATTAGTTTTAGCCAATGATTTGGAGCAATAGTTGCACACCAAGCAGTGAATATTCCAGTTGATGGAAGTCTTGTCATCCAAAAATCCGAGAAAAACAATGCAAAACAAGTAAGTTGTGATAATGAGATGATCAGAAACACATGTTGATTTTTCCCCGGTTCCGATTTCTTCCAATTCGAATCAAGGTAAACATAAAGTATTTTACAAATGACTATAAAACTTGGAATCATGTAAACCCATGGAAGAGTAGCGAAAATTGTGGGAAATTGTTTCCAATCAAATTGATAATTGATATAGGATAAATCGAAATGAACGGTTCCTGCATATGGGGAAGAATTGTAGTATGTCATTTTAGGAGAATTGGAATTGGGGAAAAGTATAAAGAATGAGTTGGCATGAGACTCAAAAGTGTTAGATCCAGACTCGAGGCAGGTGATAAGTTCCGGCTTTGTTTGTTGGAAAAATTCGTCATCTGATTAGGCGGAACGTTCCTGGAAGTGATCCAAATTTTCAAAATATTGAAAAGTAAAATTTTCTAGTTTCAAAAGATATATAATAAATTATGTTCATATTCCCCTCGAGGAGTTGAACTTGCAGGGAAAATATTGAAGGTGCTGCGTCGCTACCGACTCACTATCAGCTACGCTGTCGCAACCTTTAAAACCGTTACATCGATCCCTGTACAGAGTCTCGCAAAAATGAATACTGTCTCCTCCTTCAAATTGAATTTTGGACCCGAATTTTGAGCCCTATCTCAAGAATTTTTCATCTTTGTTGCCGTTAATTTTGTCTTCAAGAAGCAGCTGAAAATTATGTATGACTAAAAGCTTATGATTCTGCAATCGCAATGCCAAGTTCCAGAAATAAAAACATAAAAAACGTCTAACAAATGGAAAACCAAATTCCACATAGAGGAGTTCTGATCTTCTGACTTTTTGGAAACTATAAAAACTTTTCCCCCAAAAAAATCTTCCGAACACAAACAAATTTATAAAACCGCTTCAGAAACCCTATAAAAACCCAGCTGACAAGTTTCAGAGAGATGAGAATATCATGATTTTTCATAATCTTTTGATTTCTTTGTTGGTGTTCACTTCTCTCACTGTAGCCATTGACTTGAGCTCGTGCGCCAGAATGGATGTTCCAATTTTGAGCAAAGCTGCTCATGGACTTTGTATTACAAGTTGTAGTATGCAGGTGAGATATTGCGGTTTCAGAACTTCTAGATTTGATGTTTGTAAAATTCAATTTGGTCGTGCAAGTTTTTCTAAAACAATTATTTCCAGAATTGCGGAACTGGCAACTGTCAGAAACGAAAGGGACGTCCAACATGCATTTGTTATCGTTGCGCAAAAGGAGGAGGCAATATTCCATTGGCTGCTTTTGTTAAGGGATAATTGGGATGTTTCAGTGACTCAATTGGACGTCTATTATCAATAAAATCAAGTCAACTTTTTGATTTAACAAAAATAGGAAACGGAGAATTGGGGGTTTCCATTAGCTACATTTGTTAAGGGATATTTGGGTCTTTTGAATGGCTTATATTGACAGCTCTTTACCAAAAAAATCAAGTCAATTCGTTAATTTAACCAAAATGTGAAACAGAGAGTTTCGGAGCAGCAAAGAAAAATTATATTTTGCGACGCTGTTGTCTTGAATATATAGCTCTAATCAGATAAAATTATCGAAACTCTAAAGGTTTTTGAAATCTATGGAATTTTTCGCTATTTCTGAAAAAAATTCAGAATCAAATGCTCGACTTATTTTTAAAAATCAGAAACACTAACCGAAATCTACAAACAAGCATTAGTACTGGTATTGTTTCGAACAAGTAAAAAAAAATACATTCAATGAAACTGGAAAAAATTTAAACAGCGATTCTCTTAACATTGACTCAACATTGGCAATGGTTTAGATGTAGAGAACCTGGAATAAATTTCAGGATGTTCCAATTTGGAGCAAAGCTGCTCATGGACTCTGTATCACCAGCCGCAGCATGCAAGGGAGATATTGCTGTTTCAAAACTTCTATATTCAACTATTTCAATCTCCTCATTCTTATCCGTCCACAATGGCATTTACAAAATGTTGTTCCACAGGCCAGGCGCGACTGGCGGATAACTGCTAGATGCCAGCTGAAGAGGCGCGAACTGATGAACACCGTCTAGTCACCTCCTCATCGATGCGAGCTGGCCGTTCTGTCTGCGGCCCGTTCGTCCTTAGGCACAGACAACAGAACCAAAGCGGGACTGGCGGATAACTGCTAGATGCCAGCTGAAGAGACGCGAACTGATGAACACAATTCTCGAACAGAAATCTGCTATATGTTCTATAAAAGAAATTGTTAAAAAGAGTATTCAGGGAATTAATAAGATAAATGTTCGTAATCCATGAATACTTGGGAATGGGATCGTTAAAGTATGAGTAAACTGGGAAAGGAAAGAAACAAGATGTTTATGAATAGGTAGTGGACAAGATGGAAAGAGTAAAAACAAAGTTAGGAATTTTAAAAACTTGTTTACTAAGTTGTTACTGACCTATTGGACACAGATTTGAATGTCCGAGATGCATATAGTGAACTATATAAATGATTTTTAAAAAAGAAAATGCTGCCCTCAATGTGAAAAGAAAATAGGTCACCCAGGTCAGTGAGGTGGAAGAAGGCGTTGTGGAGAAGCTAAAATTTCAACCATTAACATCCATGTTTTAAAGATTTTTCTTTTTTTCTTTACTATTTTTTGATTGATAAAGTTTTTCTGAATCTACAGTAATGACACGGAGTCCTCGTAGATTTTTCCCTCTTCTCCGTTTTGAAGTGGCAATAGACGAAGACAGTGACTTGGAATCATCAGAAGAAAAAGCGGATGGCATAGAACCACTTCCAGAAGAGCTATATACGGAAAAAGATATTGATTTCAATGACAATTCATCTGGATCAGGTGCACAGATGGAATACAATTTAAAAAATGCAAAATCCTTTCAGACTTATTTCACAATTTGAAGTTAGTACCTGATAATGTATTATCATTTGTAGCTGGAGCTTGTTTGGACTTTCATCGAAATTCGACATCTTCGACACAATCTTCTCTACAAATTTAAATGATCGTTTTTCTTTCTTTTTTTTTGTTACTCTTTTTTTTTAGTATTTGTATTTGAAAAAACTGTCCAATTTAAGCAAAATCTCGTGATTAATTGATCTGATTTTGAAGAAAGAATTTAAAAAAACGGCACACATGAGCACGGCAGCGGCACGCAAAATGCACGCATGCCCCAACCCCCCAGGCACGATTATCGCGTTGCAGCGGCACCGGTGCCCCAAGTAGCGGCACATGTGCCAAAAATTTGCTGAGTTTGCAGGCTGTCCCCAAGAGCGGTTTTGATTTGAAGAAGGCAACTTCTGTTGATAAAGAAGTTTTGCTTCCCGGCGGAAAACGAGCCACCTTTTCAAAGCTAATCAAACCTACCATGTGCACAAATTGGTATGGGAAAACATCCTCTGCCCTGCATATATTAAAAAAAAGAGAGCGCCGGAATCCCAACACCAAAATCTACGGATTTTTGATTGGCAACAAGGATGCGTGGAATGACTGTCCTAATGACGGCTTCGTCGCTTCCCGCTGAAATGAACAGAAACGATGCAGATCTTGAGAACGATTTTTGGTATTGTTTCGAACAAGCAAACATATATTTATTCAATGAAACAGGAAAAAATTAAGCAGTGATTCTTTTCACATTGACTTGGTTACTGGTGGTCTTTTTCTGCGATGAGCTAGTCGAGAACATTGCCTCCATGTCGCCAGATTGTTTCTTGAAAACTGGATGGGTCGAATAGAACAGCCACGTGGTCACACAAGTTTGCAGATCATTACCGAAAGGGCGAGCGATTTCAGCATAAGAGACATAGGCATTGGTTCCGGCGAATGAGATGTAGAGAACCTAGAAATAATTTCTGTTTCGTAATTTTGTGATCAGGCTGGAGAATGTTTTGTGTTCGGTTGTAATTTTAAAAAATAGTCAACAGATTATTTTCTAGCCTGTTGTGGGAATCTCCAAATGTCATGAGAGAACTTCTTCTGACTTTTGTTTCGAACATACCAAGAAAATCGCATTAACTGCATATGAAGCTATCATTGACAACGTTGTGATGGTCATGGACAGCTCTGCTTTGTACGAATTCCGACTTTTGTTCACCAATTTCGACTTTGCGTTCACAACTTTATAGAACAAAACAGCATTGGCGGCTACAGAAGCCGCCATCCAAAACACAATGTTATAGAGGTGAAAGTAGCCGTTTCGAAGCTGAAAATTTCAGATTCGAACAACATTATGGTCCCTGGAACTTACTCCAAATGCCGAATTTGTATAATAAATAGTGACAGATCCAAAAGGGTATGGGAACGATGCTTGTTTACAGATTCCAAGCGCTGGGATGAAGTAAAAAGTGAAGCAGAGTGGGTAGAACAAGAAGATTGGGACACCAATGTTGATCAGTTTTGCGTTGATCTAGAATGAAAATTGTAATGTTTCATAGAGTCTTGAAATAAGGTGTGAAGGTCTTGGTCGTGATGAATGAAGAAATTTCAGTCGAACTGAAATATTTCCACAAATTTTTTGGGAGCATATCAAGAATTAGCGTGACATTTTTCTTTTAACTAACGTTCAAGAGAAGCTCCTGGCACCCAACTTCCTTGTTACATTTTTTCCCAGTTTGACTAACCAATTCTATTGCTATGAGATATTTTATTAGTACTAATACGACATTACCCAATCTTGTATTTTCTATTTACCGATTTTTCTTGTGTAACTGGTTAGTTGTAAAATTAGTTCAACTAGAAAATAGTTTCTATTTTTCCGGGTATCCACAAACTGGCACCAAACTTGGTAGATTGGTCAAGCGTACTATGATTGTGTTCTGTTCGTATTAGACCGCTTGATTGTGTACATTCCATCTTTTGTGTTGCAAAATTAGTAACATCAAGAAGAGTTAAAGCTTTTGCAAAATCAATCGAAAATCAGAGGCTCATGAGCCTAAAAGCTAGAAATAAACTCATTCGGCACTGGAAACGATGCCCAGCGATATCGATCAACTTCAACTTAAAATTAGGCTTAATTTTTCAATATCATTCTAGATTATGTTCTGAATTGATCTAGTTGTGATATTATAAAGATGTACAAAATTTCTCTTTCCGTCTGAAATGTTAAAAATTAGCTCTGAATATTATTGAGGGACCTCGAAAAGTTATACATGTCATATACTACGATTTGAATCGTATCCCAAAAATTACATAAACCTGAAACAGGAACCACTCGCGTCATTTTTTTAGGTTATGCTCGGTCAGTTGTGAAACTTGTTAAACTATAAAGTAGGCTCTATTTTTCCGGGTATGTCCACTTTCCACGAACTGGCACCATATTTGATAGATTGGTCAAGCGTACTTTGATTGTGTTCTTGGTCAAGCGTACTTTGATTGTGTTCGGAATCCATACTTTTAGCTGCGCAATCTTTCAAAATGTTGCTGAAACGGTTTTAATTTTTGCTGTTGGTGCTTATGGTTTGTAGTGGTTTAAATCTGCACATACTAACTTAATGTAGTCGAGGTTTATTAATGTGTACGACATGAAACAGCATTTTACAATTTACAAAACCTAAAACTTAAGATTACCCACTCACCTCACTATGTGTGCTTGGGAAAAGCACAATGAACAATCTGACAACTGGCATCAGAAACGGTATGACCATAGCCAAATATGTGAAGTATAGGGTAAAGAATAGTATCATTTTCAACCAATGGTTAGGTTTAATAGTAGCACACCAGGCAGTTATAACTCCAGATGAGGGGAATCGTGTCATGAAATAATCAAAGAAGAACAGCGCGAAACAAGTGAATTGGGATAGACAGATAACCAGAAGAACATTTCTATCAATTCGATTGAATGACTTCTTTTTGGTGAATCTCAAAAAGATTTTGAAGATTCTCCACATAACAATGAAAGTTGGAATGGTATAAAACCAAGGGATAACAGCTACATAGGTGCTGAAGTGATTCCAGTCGTATTGATAATCAATGTAAGACTGCTGGAAATGGATTCCAGGCCAAGTGATGTTGGAGGACATTCTGGTAGTCTCAAGAATATAGAAAGAGATATTCTAGCTGATACACTTCTGGATACGTGACAAAATTCACTGGGTCTAGACGAAATGTATACAGTTGTGTCTTGCGAGTGACCGAAGGAAGTTATCAGTCAAGCATGCGTGATAAACAGAATCCGCTCGAGCGTATCGCTTCTGAGAATCGAAAATAAATTTTTTCAGATACACAACCTTTAGAACTCCTCACATGCCTATCCCAGGAACCTCTTTTTGGGATAAATGCTATGAGAATGTCGATGTTTTTGTGTGTTCTGAAAGCGTCAGAAGGGAATGACTAGTTGGGATCGTGAGAAGGTCAGAGCAAAGTTTAGACTTAGCAAAAAAGTAAACTTTGTGCATTTAGGAAAGTTTGGTGTTAAGAATTACGAAACTCCTTTTATCTGACTGTAAGGTGATGAAAAAAGCGTCATACACATTCAACAAGAAATTAGAACTATACTATTATTGTTGTCTGAAAAAAAAAGGTTGAGACGCAGAGAAAAAATGTCTGCGTCTCCACCTAACATGTAATATTTGGGCTCGCCGCTTCGATATTCCTATCTCCACCTAACATGTAATATTTAGGCTCGCCGCTTCGATATTCCTATCGTTATTCAGACTGCAAAAAATACTCTCTAAGCTTTTTTTTCTCAGACAACAATAATACCTATTCTTACTAAAGATAATTTTTGCAGGCTAGGTTTAAAGGTTTCACGAAACCGCGTTGATTTGAAAATTGTTCAGTTTCAGTAAGGTGTCTTTTGCATATCGCCGAAACTTCAAGAATAGATAGAGGATAGATGGAGGATAGGGGAGAAAGAGAGCATCCGTATTCCTTATAATTGCTGTCACACTGTGTTTCTGTGATTTTGAGTTTTCTTTTTGTGTCAAGTAAATGTATAATCGAGAACGTTTGGGGATGAATATCATTCATTGAAACAGTAAATAAAACGATACTGAAAAGGGGCATAAGAAAGTTTTTTGAGGGCGATATTCTGTATTTCTCGGGCGTCGCCGGTAACTTCTGGCCGGAGCTCTATTCTTACNAAACTTTGGAAATTCGAAATCGTTTTCATTCAAAGTGAAAGTGACTTTTCGACCCGAATGATTTGATCCGTTTTCTGGCGGATGCAATCCATTCTGAAAAAAAACGTATACGAAAGAAACTGTGTGAGTCATTTCTCACTTTCAC